CGTTTCCAGACTAATTAGAGAATTTTTACGTTTAGTCAAACGAACTATTTTCAACGTTTCTGGAACGTTTACAATCGTTCTATAATCGAACCAATATTCGAATTTTATGTTCAAATTTAATTCGAACGAATTCGAACATTGTTCAAATTAAATTCGAACAAAACATTCGCAATTGAAAGCCACTTTCAACCACTTTCAGCCTCATATCTCCCGCACCCTTATAGCTATCGAGACGCAACCACCCCTATGCACGAATGAAGACTTGGGGCTACCACCACATACAAACACCATTCACGTGTGATGTGTAGTTTTGGCGAAAAAGTGAAATACAGGGACATACATGTCCATTTATATATATATAGATATCTACTTATGCTAAGTCTATGCAAGCCATCAGCAATGAAGGTTCAGAAATTGTGCTTCTCTAGCTTCTGACACCCTGAACACAGAATTACTGAATGCTATTTATTTTGATGAATACCCTGGTTTGAATTTTCCTCAAGTAATATACTCAATAAAATATAATAAAGCTTAATGTATGCATTCAGAAAAATTGGATTAAAATAATAATAATTATAGTAAAAACATAAGAAAAAACATTATAACACATTTAATGTTTTCCTGTTAATTGAGAATAGTTACATTAGTATCTAAGCAAACATTCTGGATTATTTGAAGCACAGTAGAAATTTACACAAAATTTCATTTTACTCAGAGCCTACTGGCATGCATAGAAAAAAACTGTACTTGAAATATATTCTAATTATTAATGTTTCAAATTTTCATGACTACATGCCATCACTAAACCCGTATAAATAAGTATAGGAATTAAATGTTCATTGATTTCTATACAGTAGATCCCCCTATAAGGCAGGTTTCTATAATTACGGTTCCTATAAGACAGTGAAAAAATTGTGGCGGTATCTGTAAACAATGATTAAAAAACTCCTATAATTACGTAAAACGTCATCGGGCAACCGAACTACTTTCCGCTGTCCAGCGCCATGCTACGGACAGTTTAGGCGGGTAAATTGAGTTTAGTATCGTCTGTACATATAATTATATATAAATTATATATGAATTAGGTACTGTATATATAATTATATATTAACTTAATTTATTGTAACTTTATTATAATTATATATATACTTTCCGCCATCTAACGCCACGCTACGGACAGTTTAGGCGAGCTATCGTCTGTACAGTATGTAAATTAGGTACCGTAAGTCTAATACAGTACCGTAATTTTATACATTTCTTGTGAAAAAAACATTTCTTATTCAACGGCAATTAAAATTATTTATATTAATGATGTCTCCAAAGTTCAACAAAGTTTTCGCAAAAAAATAACATCAGAAATCGCGCCTGCGGTTTGCTGCGCTGTTCTGCAATGAAAACAAGCTTGAGCAACGACGATATTGAATGGTGCACACTCGGTAAGTAATCCTACAATTTTTTATTTATAGCATAGTTTATATGGATTATTTCCAAAAAAAATATACGTATTTTGGAAATATTGAGTTGGATTAGTCTAGAATCGATTAATTTTATGGAAGAAAACCTTTCAAACAGCCATAGTCCGTAAACTTCACACATGTCAGGCTGTGATTGGCTGCGATTCCTACAAAATTGATTCATAAAGAACGGAACGTATCTACCATCTTATAGGGGGATCGACTGTACTTATTTATACTTACTATACTTATTTAGTATACTTTACTATTTATACTATAATATGATACTTAATATAGCATTTCTGTGATTTCTTTTATTAAAGAAAAAAATAATAAAATTATAAAAAAATAATAAAATAATAAAATTATTTTAATGATAATTTAAAATAAACTAGAGAACAGTTTTGAAAAAGAATTGAAAACTTAACTTTCATCAGGTTTAAAAATATTTTACACTAAACACTTATATCATAAAGTAGAAATATTCTAAGTTTACAAAATATCTATTCTAATGGAACTAATAATTTTAACAAAAAAAAATTTTTTAATATTTTCTTATTGGAACAATTCGCAGTGATAATTAAAAAATTACCTTTTAAAAAAATAATTTTATATTTCTTAAAATAAATACACTTTTATTACATGTTTAATCTGTTAATTTATTTTTTTGTATAATAAAATTTTTCATTTCAATAGTTATCTGTCATCATTAAATTGATTATTGTAATATAATTTACTATAATCTTTAATTTTATAATCCAAAACAATTAATATTTTAAAACATAAAAATACAAATATTTACTGTAATTTTTATTTATTTAATTAAATTAAATAATTATTTCCATTATTTACCTCTTGCTGAAAGTTTCTTAGTATTAATTATTTTTGCTGCAAATTCTAATCCACTATTTTTCTGGACACATCTTCTGACAATAGAAAATGCTCCTCTGAAAAATAAAATATTTATATTATTTTAAATCATTGCATAGACTGGTCTTATAATTCACTTGTTAAATATTTAAAACTGTCATATAGTTTAAGAATGATAATCTTGCTAATTCAAACTAATTATTGTACAGAATAGTTTGGATTAGCAGAGATGTATAAAGAAAATGACATATAATACTAAAATAAGTACCAAAATTTTACATGGATAACTCAAGTTTTTTTTTTTTTTTTTTTTGCATTTACAGACAATTTAAAAGCAAGTATAGATTATGTGATATGAGATAAAGCAGGTTACATCCAATTTTAAACTGCAATCATAAGCTTATCAAACAGCTTTTCCTAAAATCACTAAGTTTGTCATTAAAAATATGAAAAATTCTTTGTGCAGTGCATACTCATGCGACATAATTCTTCTCAAATAATTATTAATTGTTTATATACAGGATGTTACAAATAAAGTGAACCAGTTCCATAACTTTATATTGAGTAAAGGTAGTAAGATTGGACTAATTATGGTCAAACAACATGCAAAGGTACTATACATGTCCAAAAATTGGTGAATCTATATCCATATTATGGGTCCTATAAAACATATCTCACCAGAGTCCAATGGTATATGGGGTCAAAAATGGTGCCTTTATAAAAAGTGTGTGAAAACCTAACATTTACCCTGAGATAATTTTTTATAACTTGTTTTGCTGTCAAATAGTTACATAAACATGTAATTCAGAAAAGGCAGGCATGCATATAACAAACACAACTGCTCTTAGCATGTGTTTACAAGATCTGTGCTGTTAAAGCTGACTTAACTGACCACAACACATGTGCATGGCTTTAACTGGCTACAGTTTACACTACTGTAGACATCTTGTAATGCAGCTTCATAAGTCTGCTTGCATACATCAAATTCCTTGAGAGTGATTTGGGAATATAGTTGCCACAGGTTAGTAAATAGTATGTTTAATTAAGCAACAGCATTTTTATTCAAGACTTTGACCAGGTTATCTGTAAAGCTGTTTTGAACTACTAAAAGCTGTTTGAGAAATTCATTAGCCTATGGGAGATCACAACTTCATATATAAGATGTGGGGTGATTTATTGAGCCTTTGTTTAATAAAAGTTGCATCTTATCTGCTGTAAAATATGGTAATAGTAAAATTAATAAAATGAGATAGCTCTATAGAAGACTGTTGATAATCATTATTATGTAAAAACTTTGTAAATTCTGGAGTTAATACTCCCTGAAGTAGATTTTGGGTAATTGATTTTTTCAGGCAACAGATTTTCAGATAATTGACTCTCTACTGTAATTAATTATAAAAGCACAAAAACCAAATATAATAAAGCATTGAAACTATATTTAAATACAGTAAAACACTATAATATAATAATATTTACAGAATATAATAAAACATTAAAACTATATTTTGATGCATGACAATTTCTGCTAAGAATACCAATAATGGTGAACTCATGGAAACAATCTTTTACTTGTAAATGGCATATTATTTTGTGAAACAATATCTTTATATTATTAAAAAACTAGACCACCTTAGATAACAGTAGATTTAATCAAGTGATATGAGTTATACAAAAGTTCTAACAATTATAATCCATTTAAATCAGTCAATCTATTAAGCAAATGTTAAGTTTGTGGTTTTCATCACTTTAATTCTAAAAAAAATTTACATTAATTTTATATCTTTGTTTCAGTCTAGAAAGATATATCATATTTACTCGCATATAAGATGAGGTTTCTAACCATTTTTCACTACTTCATAACCTAGGTCGTTCTATACGTGCAAGTGAAGGATTCTTTAGGTTTTTGCAATAATTTTTGTAAACCCTGTATTTGCATTTTTTTAGTGGATGCTTACCCTATGGTGTTTAAAAACAAAAGTATTTTATCTGGGTCATTTGAATCATTCTTACGTATTGTCAGGAGTAAAGATAAATAGAAATAGAAAACACAAAGCTTTTGAATTGAATTCCAAATTGAAATTGCAAAATCACACAGGAGCCCAATGTAAGTTTTAATCCATTCCCACATGAAAACAGATAATTATTTGGAAATCAGAAGTCGGAGTAACTCATAAGTGTGGATTTGACTGTTAAGAATTGGCAAAAAAGGTTCCCGATTACATGTAGATTTTACAAGATTTTTCCTTAAAGATTAAAATGCCAGTAATTTTTGAGATGTGTGCATTTAAGTGCATTTGATATTTTATTTGTGATTAGACAAAATAAAATTAGAATTGTATTAATAAATCTAATATTCTTTATTTTAATCTTTAAAGTCACACCTCGTCCTATATGTGAGCTCATCATATACATGAGCAAGTAAATACAGCATTTATGTAAAATATGTAAACATATATATATATATGTTTATATATATATTCATTTATTTTGCACCATGAGCAGATTCAAGCAACCTACAAGGTCTTAAGTTCTTTACATTGACACAAAAAAAGTTCAAATTTCTTTGTTTGAAGTTCAAAAAAATTGTTTGTAAAAACATTTATGACATTCTGGTATGGTTTATCAGACCATCCATAGTACAATCATTATGCATATGTTATTAAAAAGTATTTAAGACCATCCACAGTACAATCATTGTGCATATGTCAATTAATATTCACAGGTAAATGTAAATAAAACGATTTTAATCTGTGTGACTGAGTTGCTATAATCTTTATACACCAGTATAATAAGTCCTATTAATAGAAATACACTGTTATGGTGATTAAAAGAATAACTAATTGTGTGTATGTCATTAAAAAGTATTTATTAATTATTTAAATATTTATAATTTTGAGTTAGCCTCTCTGAGTTCTTCTGGAACCACTAATGTTTTTCACCTATATATTTATCTAGTCTACAACAATTCTGGACAGACATACAGCACAATGAATCTTTTAGATTGAAGTGCATTTATCCCACTGGTCTACTTGACATATAGCTTGCTCAAAATCTTTAATGATTATTATTTACAGTTGTACTACTCATTATTTAGCTTTGATTTTGTCTATTTTTTCTATATAATGATAAATAATGTAATTTATATTTGATCTATCTTATGGTGTACCACATATTCTTCTAATAATACACTACTAACTATGTAGAATCATTCATTTTACATTCAAACTTATCTTACATATTTAATTTCAAATTATTATTAAAATCTGTAATCATAACATAAATAATAATCAAAAGTTTAAAAGTAATAAACATATTATAATTTTAATATATTAATTTCTTAATTGTAACAATTTCCCTAAAGTGATATTTACTGTTATAAAATTAATTCCCATATTTCATTCTCATAAAAGCATCATTCATTGAAGAAGTGACAAACTGTAATAAATATTAATATTTTCATGAAACTTACTGGTGCACAATGCTTAATGCAACAATGAAATTTCATTGTTGATTAAGCATTTTGCATTAAATATTTTCAAGCAGTTTTTCTCTTCCTTAGATGACATAATGTCATCTAAGTGTGAAAAGGGTGTAAATTTTCTGACATTATATGCCATAGTAAATTCACACCTTTTTCACACTTTCCAGCAGTAATTATTTAATCAGGGATGCACAACCTTTTCTGAAGAAGGGCCAGGTTTATTGACCAGTGGGCTGGACCTCCAAGAGATTAATGCAATGGCTGCATTTCAACGTATGAAACGATCAGCAGATTTTCCAAATTGTCATTGGTTAACCTGTTCCATGTTTTGTATTTGTTTAAATTCATAAGTGAAAATGCTTGTTCACATACATAGATACTGCCAAACATGCTTTCACAAAATTGAGCATTTTCTTTCAATTTTGGAAATGATGTATCTGTAGAATACGAGGAGATCAGAATTTTTAAACTATGATTTCAATTCATCACTGCACAGAATGTCTATCAACTCAAGTTGAACATCTGGAGGGGCATCTTCCACATTCACATCAAATGGAGTTGAAAAAAGTTGCAGGTAGATCTTGTATTTCTGGAATTCACAAACCTCTCATTGAATGATATACGAAGAGTGCTAACTTGTTCAGAGTAATCCATATTCATATGTGTGTATTTCTCTTTCATGGCCTTGCAATGTGAAAAGTGTGTAAAGTTCTCTGATTGCATGTGGGACTTGAAAAGTGCTAGTTTGGTTCATGTTCCTTAACAATGTATATTGTATAATTTTCTTTGAATAAACATTATATATAAAATATTTGACTATTTTTTTCGACATGAAACGCATGATCATATTTTACATTAATTTATATGGAAAAAATTGTTTTGCTTAATGAGTGTTTTGCATTATGACCAAGATTCTGGAATGAATTATGCTCATTAAGCAAGGTTCCACTATATTTAGAAGATAGTTCCAGCTTTAGAATCAAGGAAGCTTAAGGAAGGACATCAAATGACTCATGGTGCCAACCTCAGGCTCATTACTCATGGCTCGAACTAGTTCCCATTTTTTCATAGTCACCTGCAATAACAATGATTCCACCATGGGAAACAACATGTCAGCATACTTTTGTGAAGTCACTCCCAGTGACTCCAACTCTCTCAGATAAGTCTCCAGTCTGTCATACAAATCAGCCACGGTAACTTCACTCTTATTGTCCATGACAAGTTTGAAGATATCTCGCACATAAACTTGTATTTAAGTACTATAACTCACAAATCACTCTTTCATATATGCTATGACCTTGGGATAGTTCTGTGCTGTTGGCAGAAAACTGTCTATGACTTCACAGGCCTTGAATTTCTCCTTAATGGCCTAGAGTAGATACTGGAATTTATCCCTCACTGAGATACTTTCTTATGAATCCCTTTAAACTGACTCCAAGCCAACCTCTGGAGTTACTATCAAATTTCACCAATTTTTGACCTGCTGATGACTCCTCTGTGAACCTCTGACACTTCCAATGTCTAAGTCCTTGGACAACATCTTCATCCTGGTCTCCATCAACATATATCTGCTTTGATAGTCAGCAACAGAATCAGCTTCTGACAAAAAATTATCCTCGGTTGCATTCTCATTCTGTGCAATCTCTCTCTACCAGTGGATCTAACTCTACCACTCTGTCATGATTATAGATGAGATGACTCCACAAAAGATCTATGACAGTTTTATCAATCTCAGCCATAAGTTCACCAAATGTTTTCATGAAGCTTATTCAAATTCCTCTTTGACTCACTTTTGTAGGTGCCATATTTACATTTCCATAACTTGTATCATTAAGAATCTTGTTGGCTGTGCCAGATGTAACACCACATTATGTGATTCCTGTATGAAACTAGACATGATGTAAACAAAACATAAGGTTTATTTACCTTGGAAATATACAGTGAGATAACACAGTACAAATTTGCCGAGACCTTCCACTATGGAAAACCATGAACACCACACAAAAACATAGGCTCCTATACTCCCTGCTAGTGGCCCACCAACAAAAGTGCAGGCTTTATTCTTTCCTGCAAGGGGTGCCTTCTAACAAGTGGAGTTGATGTAACAAAAATAACAATGGAAGAAATAATGCGCAAGATAAGGAAAGTGATCATGGAAATAGTAGGCAAGATACCAATACTTTTCATATAGTAGTAAAGTGTAATCATATGATGAAGAATATATACAAAGAGATAGCAATAAATATAAACATTCACAACAAACCCAATACATAGCAATAATGCTCCAACTGCCATATATCCTCAGACTATAATTTGGCAATAATAATTATAACTTACTAATAAATTTGGCCCTAGAGGGAGATGTTAGGTGCTATCTCATATTAAATTTAATAATTATAATTTAATTAAATAATTTTAGACTAAACTGGAAGAAAAGAATCAGTCCAGAGCAGGACTCAAACCCCCAACTCTCCGATGCATTGCCAGCTATGCTACCTTGACCTCTGATTCAATCTTCTCTTCTAGTATATTTAACATTACAATATAACCATCATCGGCTACTACAGTGCCAACTGGGGATGTATTCAGTGCCCTCGTCCTGTAAACTCCCACATAAGGCACTCAGTCAGTCACTGTCAGTCATTGTATACCCAGCAAGGCATATATATATACAAACATCCATAACAGACCTAATACATAGCATTAAAGAAATAGCAGAGTATAAGAATGCCAAAATAACATACATACACAACCCACTATATACCACTCATTATGCAACAGCAAATGTAGCCAATCAACTCTGCTTACTGGGATATATTGTATTCCAGTGACAGACTATAGAAGCCAACAGAAATTGGAGTACATAGGTTCCACAACATGCTCTCTACAAAAGAGATTGGCTGAACATAATTATGATATCGGCCACAACAAGTTCACCACTGCCTTGGCTATTTATGCCTCAGACGGTGACCTCTAGGCCAATCTACAGAACACCACTATCATTAAGAGAGCCAAACAATCGAAAAATATTAGGGTCTTAGAATTGCTGGAAATTTATAAAGTCAAAAAACAAAGGAGAAGCATTAATTTCAAAGATGAAAAACGTTTGTACTATTATGATAGATTATGATAACATGACAGATATTACTTCAAACCAGATCCTGGCCCTTCAATAACATCAAAATTTAAAAATTTTTAAAAGTTTAAAGGATTAATATCTTGTATCCTGCTTTATAACAATGACATCATGCAGCTAATTTAACCTGGAGATGCGTTCAATTAACGGAACATTTTTTAAAACACAACATTTATGTTCGACTTCAAAATCCAGCTAAGGATCGAAAACATTAGTCATTATCAAAATAATAAACTACTGGTCATAAAGGAAGAAGGCTGTCTTTCGACTTAGCCTGAAGGAAGGTGACTGAATGAGGGTGGGGTGGGAGGGAGAGTAGGGTGGGTATAGAAGAGAGGATGGGATAGGTTGGGGGTAAGGGATAGCATAGGTTGGAAGTAAAGGTTGGGGTAGGTATGGATCCCAATGCCAACTTACATCGCGAATAATATAAAGTCAGTAGTACAACAGAATACAGAGACCAATCCGGAAGCAGAGTATTACAACAAGAACCTGATGCTAATATATACACCATCCTGTGGTTAATACAACAAATAGTTTATAATTAATACAATTAAGATTAAACAAGTCTTGCCGGAGGAGTAAAGTGGTAGTGATGATACTACAACACTAGGGGTAAGAGATGACAGTAGTTACATAGCTGGTTAACATTGCAGATACACTTGCAGAGGGTGACAATGTACAGTACATGTCCAATTAACTAAGTTGCAATCACGCTTGCAGAGGGTGATCGGTAGCAACCTTCATGGTGGTGGCAGAAGGACGGGAAACCGCCCAAAAAAGTCCAGGGCTCAGGTTGCTGAGTTGACGGCAAAGATGCCGCAGTCCTTCGCGAATTTGTCGAGTTGGCTGTATGCCTCCTTGGTTGCACAGAAGAATTCCCATGGCGGAGGCCAGATTGTACCGTTGGTTATACAGTAGTTTATGAGTGCATTCCTTGGTGTGTCGTGATTCGGGCAGTCGGTTAGAATGTGACTGATGTCACCTGTAGTGGACCCGTCGCAGTCGCAGTGATCGTCGTTCCTCTTTTTAATGCAGTATAAATAGCTAGGGATGTTCCCGTGGCCAGTAAGCACCTGGGTAAGGTGGTAAGAGGGAGAGAGGTAGTTCATACCCTGACGGGTTTTGATGGATGGGAGGAAGTTGAACGTTGTTCTTCCAGTGGAGGAATTGGTCCATTCGTCCTGCCATTCCTTTATGATAATGGAGTTTAGTTGCTTATGAATGTAATTTAGGGGGAGCCTGCTGAATGATATGTTTATGTTACTTTTAGCTGCTCTCTTTGCGAGGGCGTTGGCTCTTTCGTTACCTTGAATCCCGGCATGGCCAGGGACCCAAACAAAGCTGACCAGCCTCATTTTACTGAGGTGCCTCGCCATCTGCTGGATGTTTGCCCCAGTTTCGGTTTGATGCTTTCTGTCATTGACGCTTCGAAGAGCGTACCTGCTATCGGTTATGAATTTGATAGATCCTTTCATGCATTTTATGTTCTTGATGACGTAGTTGAGGGCTCTATCCAGACCCCAGAGCTCCACCTGGTTATTAGTACAGAGCTCACCTAGCTTGTAATATTCCTCGTGTACAACCACCTTATCGTGGTTGTGATAGATAACCAGAGCTGCCCCTGTGCCATCTCCATTGCTGGCTCCGTCGGTGTAAATGTGCCAGTCGTAAGCCGGGTGATCCGTGTTGTCTCTCAATTCTATTTTGATACTGCTGTGTTCTGCTGGGTGGTGGAGGGTGTCCCATCTATTAGTGCTCCTATCAATCCCGTGTTTGACAATTTGAGCTTTCATCTCAGGTTCCTCCAGGCGGTTCTCATCACTCACATTGATGTCACAGCTATGGTCTGTCTCGTTGTTTATTGGAGCCTTGTTGAGAAGGTTCCAAAGACAGACAACACTCCTAATTTTTATGTGTATCGGAACCATGTTTGCAATGTTCAGTAGCGCGTTCGTGGGCGCCGTGCAGTAAGCACGACAGATCCGAATGGCGAATGAACGCTGGACAGATAGTAATCTCCTCTTGTTGCAGACAATGTCAGCTCTATTGCCCCATACCTGTGCTGCATACAGCAGCATCAGCTCAACTGCCCCCTTGTAGATGAGCCTGCTATGCTTTGTGCTGATCCCCAAGTGTTCCTCGCTATGTGGTAAATCTTGTTAGCCATTTGGCTAACTTTCTTACACAGCTCCTCAATGTGGCTATTGAAACTAAGGGTGGGGTCAAGGAGAACCCCCAGGTAATTGAGATGAGATGTAATTTTTATCTTGTAGCTATTGATATAAAGACAGGGGGGCGTTGGAGCTGTTTGCGGTTTGATTTTTTTGTACAAACCAGAGCCTCACATTTTTGGTAATTAATTGGCAGGTTGTTGTCTTCGCTCCATTTGTGCACAAGTTTCAGCATTTCGTTTCCGTTACTCTGCAGGATGTTACTGTTCCGATGTCTGACCATCAGAATCGTGTCGTCCGCAAAGCCCTGGATCTTAGTGTCTTCCGTGTCGGGTATGGTGTTGAGAAGATCATTATATACCAGATTCCACAACCCGGGTCCACTGCGAGACCCTTGCGGGCAGCCCCTGTTCACCTTTATTGTGGTGTTGATCTTATCGTGGCTGAAGCTGGCCTCTCTGTCGGACAGGTAATTTTCAGTGAGGTGGTAGATGTTCTTTGGGCATCCCGCCCTCCTGAGGCATTGCAGGATGGAAGGCCACCAGAGGTGGTCAAAAGCCTTCCTGTAATCCACACTAATCAAAAGGGTATGCATGTCCTTACTCCAGCCTTCTTTGATGAAGCTTTTGACCTTGTCGATTGCCGCAATCGTTGATCTTCCTGGCCGGAAGCCGAATTGCTTATCATTCATCAGGCCTTTCCGGGTTAGGTGCCAGTTGACCCTGCCAATCAGCAGGCCATCCAGCACCTTCCCCAGGACCGGTAGAAGGCATATGGGTCTATAATCCCACTCCTCTTTGGGGCTATCAGTCTTGGGGATGAATTTGATACTGGCTGTCTTCCAAGTCCTTGGGAAGTAGCCTTGAAGGAGACAGCTGTTGTATATCAGGACAAAGGCAATCGGTACTGCTTCGAATGCCTTTTTTATCGTTTCGGCAGTTATTTTGTCATGCCCCGGGGCTTTCTTATCGGCTAAAGTGTTTATTGCTTTCTTTACCTCCTCAAATGAGAACCATTTATCGTCCTCGCTTTTGTAGTCTTTGCCGACCTCCGTCCTGATTCCCTGATGATGGACTTTGTCCTTTGTGCTGTAGTCTCTTGGGAAATGGAATTCCAGTAGCTTTTTTATATTGCTCTCAATACTATAACTATTGTTGTTGTTGTTCGAGCCGTCGGGTATAATGTTGGGGAGGCCCTTAGCTTTCCTTTTTTTGAATACAATCTTATATGGTTCCCCCAAGGGTCGATGGACGGTTGTCCACAGAAGCTCCTCCATGCGTTGGTTCTGGTTCGGTTGATGTTACTTTTGTAGTTTTTGAGAGCAGCGAAGTAATTTTTCCCCCTTTGAATCCTCATCTCCTCATTTGTTTCCCTTAACCACTTTCTTCTTTTTCTCCTGATCATTTTTTTCTCATTTTCTAAGTTATCATCCCACCAGTGGGTACGGGATTCCCTTATCTTGTACGTTGAAGAGCCTTGGATGGCCTTAGCCATAGAATCTGTGATGTGGTTTACATAGTTATCAATTTCTGTTATACTACTTATCTCTGTGAATCGATAATTCCTCCAATTCCTTGCGAACATTTCTTGAAATAGTTCCCAGTTCATCCTTTTACTGTAGTAATTATCATGGCTTTCAGTAGTACTTTGGTCTTTCTCAAGGATAGTGAGGATGTATCTGTGGTCGCTGGCCGAGTCTTTAAGCAGGGTTTGGCAGCTGATAACCTTTCTACCCACTTCCGTAGGTGCCAGGCAAACATCAGTCCAACCTTTGGCCCTTGCTGTTTGGAAGGTGGGGGTGTCAGACGTATTGAGTGAGATGCCGTCAATTTCATTTAGTAGGTCCTGAAGTAAGCGACCCCTGTTGTCTTCCCTTTCATGATACCACAAATGGGATTTTGCATTACTGTCCCCAGCCACAATGAAGGTGTTGTTCCCCAATTTCCTCACTACTGAAGTCAATTCGTTTATGCACTCTTCGTCCTTGTCGAAGGGTGAGAAGTAAATGCAGATGATATAGTCAACTGGGCCTTCGTGAAGCGCAGCCGTGGTTATTCGGTTTGAACTGAGCTTGGGGATTAAAGCAAGACTGATACTTTTGTTGCGGACAATTATGCCGCATTTCGATCTTTCGTTGGCTGCCCCTTTGTTTAATACCTGCCAGCTGCCAAATCTGACAATTTGATTGCTAACTGTGTAAGGCTCCTGTATGAGAATAATGTCAGCATTTAAATCATTTGCTGACTTAACAACTAAGGATGTAGCCGCTTGGCTCTTCTGGGTGTTTATTTGTAATACTTTTATAGTATCACTGGGCATGATGCTGGGACTATTGCTGTGTCTTTGCTGATTGGTTGTGGTCTTATTCATAATCTGTTTGCTTTATCAGTAATTTTTTGTATGATCTTAGTACCGGGCAGTGAGGAGAAAAGGCATTGTGGCCTGTGTCATACTTCTGCTTGTCACTGCGTTCCTTGTTTGCCTTTACACAGTTTATACATTTTGGAATCTGCTGGTGGCTGTCACACTCTCTGTATTTATGACGTTTTGTGCAGTGACTGCACCTCTCCCTGTGGTCACATTTTGCCGCCCTATGCCCAAATCCAGTGCACCTATAGCACCGCATAATGGGGATATAATCGTCTACGACGAGTGTCCCCCACTCGTAGCTCACTCTCTTCATATTTATTTGGATGTTTCGTATTGCTGGGTGGATGGACATCACCACGTGTCTGCACCCCTTTCTAGTTTTCGAGTCTATTCTGTGCGTTATTTTAGTTTCCTTTTGGAAGGCTTCCTCTGAGTATTTTGTTCTTAGCTCTTTGTTTTGCTCGTAGACTTTTTTAATCAGTGTTTCCCGGCTTTCCTCGGCTGGGGCATTTAGCAGGATTACCCTGGGTCTCCTGTGCTTTAGTCTAGTCATTTTTAGTTTTTCATTAAGCTCCGGTAATTTCTCGATTGCCTCCTGCAGACTCTTTATGTCTTGCTCGGATTTGACTCTGATTTTAATTTCCTTTCCCTGCATAGCTGAGATGTGCCGCACATTTATTCCCAGACTGGCTGGGTCTATCTTTTCTCTTATCGCCTCCATCATTTCCTTGGGGCACAGGTTCTCTCCTTCCTCAGTAATATTTGATTCCACTATTAGGTCTTCAGTCTTCTCTATTTGAGAATTAGTAGCTATCGTATTTGTTATAATGTTTGTGGTGTTACTACCTCTTTTAACAGTAGCCCCTCTCTTCACCACCTCTGCATAATTGTTATTCCCCTCTCCGTGCTTTGTTCTTAAGGCCAGGACCATCCCATAAATGCTGTTGGCGGCTGCGTGCATGTCGAACGCTGCCTGACGTATAGCTTTCCGGTTGTTTACCGATACCGAGCCATAAGAATTAGCCGGTAGGGCTTGCATGATAATACCAAGTCCTTGTGTGATTTTCTCTAAGAGGTCCTTCTCTGGGCAATTCATAATCAATGATTCGCCGCGTGGTATCCCGAGTAACACAGTAAAACCAGGCTGATAGTATACAGAACAGGTTTCTTAGAAGCTAATTTATAATCTACAATATACTATAATATAATAATACTAGAATAACGGTGAATTTATTGCAAACCGAGCGGTAAATTACAATAGCTGATGCGATCAGCGGTGCCCGAGAAGCGGGCCAAGCAACAACCGAATTAGGGTCGGTTAGGGAAGCTGACCCGGTCACGTGCTGAGGTCAACGACCTTTGGTTCCTTTGTTAGGAGCGAAATTAAGATCGTCCGTAAAACTAAGACTATTAAACATATACTCACGAAACTTAGCATACGAGTAGGTGCAGTGCTACTAAGGGAATTACCCGAGTAAGAGAGGAGCCGGTGGCCCGGAAAGCCCGCGCGACGGCCCTATATGCGAATGTTTCCGGACGTTATAAAACGAGGACGGACCGTCAGAATCAAAAACTGACGACGGCGTAGGAAAGGTCGAAGAAAGCCGAATTAAATGATATATCGGATGCCAACTTGTCGGCGGAAATCGCCTGGACAAAACAATCGGAAACCTGGAACTTCCGGCTGATGTAACTTCCGAATGGCTGGGCCGATCCGGAAAAAATAAACGGCAAACGATAGCTTACAGAAAGACGAATCCAACAGTGTGTAAAAATCCTCGGGTTAAAGACTAACTTGGCCGATGCGATGAGCTAAAGACGGAGCCATTCCGCACACGTCCTTCACTGGAAGTACTCTTTTTTAATAATAAACTACTGGAGAATTGTTTAGAAGGTACTTCAAAGAAGGTTTGGTGCTATATTTCCACTCCAGTATTAACTAATGTAAGTAGAAAATCAAGGCTGTAAAGATGAAATTTAGACATTTTGAAAAAACACTTTATTGACAATTAGCTCAACAATGATTACAGTTTGCTTGGTATGTAATCACCATCAATATCAATCCCCTCTCACTACCTTTACTGCAAACTTTTAATCTCATGAGCATACAATAACCAGGGTTTTTTTTTTAAGATGGTCATGAGCATTGAGTATTGTCGTGGAATTGTATATTGACAATAAGGTTCTGCAGAGTGCAAAACAGATGGTAGTCAGTTGGCACCAAGCCTGAGCTTTCAGATGGATAAGGAAAAAACTCTCCAGCCCAGATTGCCAACTTCTCTAGTTATATTTGCTCTATGTGCTGAAGCATTGTCATGGACAAATCAGACTTTGTCAATTTTTGGACAAAGTTCTTCTATCTTATTGTTCAAATGATGCAATTGTTCATAGTAGAGTAAGAACTCTACTATCAGTGATATCAGTTAGAAGCATCATCATGGTGATGCCAAACTAATG